ATGGTTAAAATAAAAAGAAAAGATTTGTATTTGCGTGTCATACTATTTTATTAATGTATGGTTAAAATAAAATAAAATACAAATCTTAGTTTACCAAGTATATTCGGATAATTTAACTTTTAAAAATAAATAAATTAATTAAAATTATAATAACTATATTATTATCTCACTTTAATGAACGAAGACAATAAAATAAATTATTAAAAACTTTAAAAAATAATAAAAAATTAAACGGGTACGTAAATGTCCCACCCCCTTCCTTGCCCCTCACATCTTAAACAACTAATGGACGAATACGGGACGGAAAAATTCCCAACAGGGTGAGGGTGAGGGAACCTACTCTGTTGCAAACTCGCGCCGTTGTCATTCCTATTGTTGAACGACGTGAAAAATGTAAAAGTCTTCTTGTATTTTTGTATTTTTATCCATTTATTACATAGAGATTCCATTTTATTTGTGCTGACCTCCTTACAATGTTTTGTAAGATGAAGGCCTCATTTATAACGTTGAAAATTGTTATTTTCCAATAAATAATTGTTGTATAAATGTTGAGCACTGTTAAATTTGTAACTATGGACGGATAGATGTTGGTTTTTAATTATGATACTAATTGTTGTCTGGTTTTACATTTTAGGGTGATTTTAATTGTCCATATTTTCATGCAATTTTTTGAATTTGGATACAGCAATTTCCAGAAATATATGGCGTTAACATGTTGATACTAGAATTGACGGTTCAATATTATGGTTAAACTTATGATTTTCAAGGGACGAAGAAAATTTCGAACTTAGTATTGTACATGATCTATAGTTTGATGGGTGAAATTACAAATTTTAGCGGTTTCAAGTTTGTTATGCAAAAGTTGAGTATGCCAAACAAATATAGAGTTTGTACAAATTTCGAGTTTATTCGACTAACTACATGCATACAGCCTGTTTGAGCTCGATTTTTTCATCCAAGAAATTGATTTTTTGACCGTTATTTCACTATTTCAGTCGTCATATTTGACTTCTTCTTTCATAGGTAGACCCCACTTTTCTCCTAACGGGCAAAAAATTAATTCTCAAAATCACTCCCAAACAGATAATTTTTTTTAACAATTCATAATTGCTCCACTTTGTTTTCCGTTGATCTATAAATTCAATGACTTTTTAATGATATAATATTTGCGTGATGGACATCTATGTAACGAAAGTTTCCTCACAAATTCCGCGCATAGGTTCCTCATTCGTATTTTTGGTCTAGTTTATGCCGAAACTTCATTTTCTGCTTCCATTAATTTCATATCGTGGTGCATTTTTACACTATATTTTAGTCGTTTATGTTATTCAAATTTTCAAATATTTTTTTCTCAAACTCATTTTCAATTACATATTATTTGTCAAACAGTGGCTGAATAGAAATATGCCCAATAAGTTTTAAAAATCGAAATTTTACAATTTAAAGCTTCTATAAAATTCAAGAGTTCATAGCATTTTATGATTCCCCAAATTTTGAGATTCACTAATATTGAATTTTGAGAAATCTTGAAAAGTTGTAAAATCTCGAATTTATTTTTTCGGAATATGCATACATCGCGTTGTTTAATTTAACCAATTCAAATCAACCTAATACCAGCTATGGACAAATATTAAGGATCTGTTTGGGAGCGATTTTTTCACCCAAAAAATTGATTTTTTGACCGTTATTTCATTATTTTAGCCGTTATACAAAGTGATTTTTTTTCTCAAAAAATTGATTTTTTGATTGTTATTTCATTATTCCTTTTGATTGTTATTTCATTATTCCAACCGTTATATTTGACTTATTTTCTCACAGGTGGACCCCACTTTTTTCCTAACGATAAAAAAATTAATTCTCAAAATCACTCCCAAACAGGCTCATATTTGACTTTTTCTCTTACAGGTGGACCCCACTTTTCTCTTAACGGTCAAAAAATCAATTCTCAAAATCACTCCCAAACAAATCCTAATATTGATGGATTTTATATCACAATCGAACTGATTTGGCTTGGAAACTGGACATATTGGTAACCCTAAAGTTAGGACCTACTTGGGCCAATTCAGCAGTTATTGTGAGAATTAATATTTTGATCATTAAAAATAAAAGTATATCTTACCTGTAAGTGAAGAAGTAAAAAATGACGACTGAATTATGAGAAAGTAACGATCAAAAATTGATTTTTTATGGTGAAAAATTAGAACCAAACGGGGGCTAAGAGAAGGGGGAAAAAATGTATTTTCTTTAACAGTTCAGAAAAAAAGTAAAAAATAAAAATAAAGAAAGTAAATGAAACTTTCATAGCACAAGATTCCCGTAAACATGGCGGGGATTTTTGGCGCCATTTCTCTCAATCCGCAATTCAAGCGAATTTCGCTCTATTTTTCTCCCAATCATCCCTCTTACAAATCGTTTAAACCCTCATCAATTTGCCATTACTCACGAAGTACATATAATAAAAAATTCTGTTCTTTTGCCCTAGAAATGGCTCAAACAGCGGAAAATCGTACCCCTGAAATCGAAGAACCAAACCCCAAAATCCCAAAACTCCAACAAAACGGCGATTCTGAAGCACCCCATGAGTTCACTTCCTTTTTCCGCGTCAAAAAGCACTCAGAAAAAGCTATTTTGCCATCTAGGGCATCACCTCTTTCCGCAGGCTATGATTTGTCCAGGTAAATAATTATCCACATCCCACAAGAATTTCTTTTTTTCCACACAAATGGGGTAAATAATACAAATTCTTGTTGAATTCTGATGGGTTACGGATTATGCAGTGCAACGGAGACTAAAGTGCCAGCCAGAGGCAAAGCTTTGATTCCCACGGATCTTAGCATTGCCATACCAGAAGGAACTTACGCACGTATTGGTAATTTTCTACTGTATTTCTGTATATGATTCACGTTAAATCCCTTAATCTATGCTGACGGATTTTTCCGATTCTATTATATAGCGCCACGATCAGGGTTGGCATGGAAGCACTCCATCGATGTAGGAGCGGGGGTGATTGATGCAGATTACAGAGGTCCAGTTGGGGTCATTTTGTTTAACCATTCTGATGTGGATTTTGAAGTGAAGGCTGGTGACAGAATTGCACAACTTATTATTGAGAAAATCTTAACTCCTGAGGTAACAGAGGTTGATGATCTTGATTCAACCATTAGAGGCTCGGGCGGTTTTGGATCTACCGGTGTTTAATTTTCTGCAATCAGAATGGTAAATCTTGGGGAGTTATATGTTCTGTGTACTGTCTTATAGTTGATCACATTGCAGATGTATTTGCTAGATGATCTTTATTCAAAGTAACTGGATTTTCAACACTACATTTTATGCGTGTTTGGCTGAGCTTAAAAAAATGAACTTTTTGGTTCCAAATGCACTCGCCAAAGTGATTTATATCTTTGATTGACAGAAGAACTGTTTATTTCGAAACTCGCTTATAAATTAGTCAAACTTGCTCTTTATTAGGTTGGCTCCAAGAAGAGAGAAACAAGTTGGGGGATATACATGAAAATGGCCCAAATAGTATATAACCTTTTCCAAAATAACCTTTGACTTTTTTAGAAATTTGAAACTACCCAAAATATCCTTGGAAAAATTTAACAACCAACCCTTTATATAATAAAAAGTTTCATTTTTAGTCCTTAAAAAATCTAACAAATAAATTTGTAAAAATTATTAATGAATAATTATAAAATGGAAAAGCCCAAATATAAGAGAGGATCATATAATATAAAAAAGGTTGTTAAAAATAAAAAAGAAATTAAATTTGAAAAAGAAATTGATAAGATAGGATATCAAGAACAATTATATGCATCACAAGAAATATTAAAATGTTTTAAAGAAAACTTATTAGAAAATTTCGCTAAAGGAATTGTAAGGTCAATAATTATAAAAGATATACAAGATATAATAGATAAATTGGAAAAAAGAAAGAAAAGTATCTCAAAATATGAAATACCTTTTGGAACAGACATAGATATGATAACAAATATTGATATTATAAATTCTCAAACATTATTAGACTTTGAAGAATTACTTAAAAATTTATGAGATTAAAATTTTGATATTTTGATTATTAGATTATTAGATTTTTGTTCGCTCATAATAGCACCCCTAGAGTTGGTATCAGAGTCATAGAGATCATGGAAATCTTAAAAATAAATAATTATTATCAATGTATTGAAGAAAAAGGNTGGCATCAATTCGTTTATAATTTACAGCCGCGTGAGAACCATGAAATAATGAACTTCAAATGGATATCTATGTTTTCAAAACCGGCAGGCATTGACCTGGTGGAACTGATTGTTAATAAGTACACATATGCCAAAAAATTTGGGAAAATTAAAATATTTTCAACCACACATTCTCACATCAAAATATTTTGCACATAAACCCAATTTTTTCCCCCTATTTGCTTTTATATGCAAACTTAGGGATTTATCTTGCCTGGGACTGAGCTTACCTTGCCCACTTGAATGTACCATCCATTTGAGTTCTCAAGACCAGTTTGGTTCTATCGATACTCTTTAACTTTTTAACTACACATTCTCCAAAAATTCACTACTACAAAACACATTCCCCCCCCCCAGCCAAAAAAAAATAAAAAATAAAAAAATAAAAATAATGGGCATCAAACAGGGGCTAATAATATCAGGCCCTTTTTTATTTTTGAAATCAATTTTGATTTTTTTTCTTTGCACCATCTTGAACCTTTAAACAATGAAATGTATAAGTAGTTGATCCTACATCAAAAAATGGCAAGTAAAAGCACTTAGGAATTGGTCTATAAAGTCAGTTGTGAACCAGCAAGTCATTGAAAAGGACAGTTTAAAGGGAACAGGCCAACAACTAGTCTCTTCGCTTTCACTCTTTAAGCCCAATATATAGTATTCAAATATGATTTTTGAAAAAAGAATCACTCATTGAAATCATTAAAACTGGCAGCAGTTCAAAGGGTCACAGTTTAACAGGTTTTTTTAGCCGGTTTTTGAGCAGTTAGTAAGAAAATGGTTTTAGGTCATAACCGAACCAGTTCCCGGTTTTTCCAGTTCGGTCCTATCCGGTTTTGAGAACAGAGACAGATATAACCCAGAGAAAGGACTTGGCAATTCAACATAAAAAATTCCTACCTTCCCATAAGCAAGGGCATCTGGTTGTGCAAAGAAGTTTGACATTAGTTCATCATGGTTACTAACCATTTCACCTGAAAAAGCAAGTTGCCTAAATGTTACCAAGCATCAATTATCTTGATGTTGTAAACATAACTTTTGAGTTTAGTGCCGAGAGCAAGGAGGTATATGAAAAGAAATTAGTACCTTTCAGGTAAACAGGTTGCTGGCTCTTAACCACACCAATAAAATCACAAGGTATGACACGTCCCTGAAAGTCCAGCAGATAGAGAAGGTTTCAGCAGACGAAAACTTCGTGGGTCATTTTCATAATGATGCAAGGCAATAATAGCTTCACAAAATTCTGTAATAAATATTAAGTGTAGGCACCCTGATTTATTCTGTAATGGAGACCAACAAATAGAATCTCTTGAACATTCCTAGACATCTTATGCGTTCTAAGTATCCTGATTCATTTATAGAAAGTCAAAGCATATTTGCTCAGATGTTAAAATTTAAGCTTGGAATTTGCGTAACTATTTAACACTAGCGAAAGCATAGACCCATGATATATGATAAGTTAACATGTTCAAAAATTATCAGAAAGGCAATATTGAGGGACATGAGGTTTTATGAGAGGGACATAAAAGCGCGATAGACATCACCATACTTACGCATTATTAAATAGTGAATACAAAAATTGGGTTTTCAATCAGGATTTAATTACATAGAATAGTTTCCATTGTACTTAATTTTAGAGCACATTCAGATCAAATACTCCTATCATACTACTATGACACTCTTTTTATATTCAGATTTTGGTGCTCTCACCGCATGCAGTATATTTCACAAATGTTATTAGTGACATTTACAAACTATGTACACTTTTCAAGCCGCCTACGACACCAAAATTTTCACAGCCTCGGTCAATGAACGGTACTTCAACAGGCATAACAGACACAGAAAACAAGCATGTGCAGAAGGGGATGGTCATGGTCCCCGAACTTTGGTACTTAGTTCCAGATAGAAAGAGGATCAGAAATGAATGACTTGACTACACAATAGGCCAGAAGATCCTGTAAAACAGCAAATATCCCCCATGTGTCTCCAAGTTCCTTAATTTTCTTGGTGGAATTAGGAGAAACAATATATAAGATAAGTACAAAAGCATCGTGCAGCCTGTGCAGGAAACTTCCCCTTTCTGCTCAAGCTGAAGTTATTGCATGCTTAAATGGCTCAATCATTTACCTGGTGAATTAATTGGTAAAAGCTGTGTTGGCCATTTGTTCCTGGTTCACCAAAATCAATTTCCCCTGTCTCATAGGGAAGAGGCACGCCATCAATTGATACCCCTTTTCCATTACTCTCCATACTAACCTGTATTAAATAATATTAGGATGGCATAAGCATCCTCCCAAAAAAAGCATCCAGAAAGGTGTGCAAGCAACATTATTATAAAAGAAAAAAGAAATGCCTGTGGTAAACATGCCTGCTGAATATGGGGTGCAAATTTCTCCAGTGCTTGAGAATAAGGTAAAATGGCCTGAAATTAAGTAATGGCTAATTGTTACGGTTCAGCCAGTAAAAAATTCAATGAAGGGACGTCAAAAGGGGGATATTCAAACAGACTTCAACATATATTTAACTTACTCTTGCAGGATATCCGAGGAATGACACGTTCCAAATACTCAACAAACCTAATAGCACCTGAAGGAATAATATGCAAGTCAACAACAGAATGAGTTATCTAAGAACAAATATGGGGCAAGGTCAATTCATAGAAAATGAAAACATGGAATCCAGGATAGCCAAGGTCCACAAGATCTTAAAACACACTAAAATATAAAACAATAGCAAGAAAGAAGAAAACCGTTATCTATTTTGGCCACACACGGAGACCAAAAGATTGATAATGACTTTAAGCTGGGATCTCTCAGATCCTAGCTTACATGTTACATGACTAGATCCCTGACAGAAGGCTATTCAATTGCATATCCAAAAGTAGCAAGACAAAAGGCATTCTGAGAGGGGTACATACTGGTAAATTCTTCTCAAAAGGTGCAGAATAGAAATGTTGATCAATACTTGAAGCTCCCTTTAGGAACCTTCAAATAAAAGGGAAATTAACGAAACATGTTAGTAGCTATTGGCCCAAACAAATGAATATTGTGAAAAAACGTGTTAAAAGTAGTTGTCATATTATTGTAGTGAACCTTGACTAGACTTATGTTTAATTATATGCTTATGTGTATGCTCAATTGTGGGGACATATATAGCTCCTATGTTGATAAGGTGGTTTGTTATCATTATAAACTCACATTACAAAATTTCCTACTATTATTCGAGTTGCCTTCATTAAGCAAAAGTATAATGTGTAACAATAACCTACAAAAATCATTAGCCTTGTTGCGACCTAAAAAACCGGCAAGTTTATCTTAAACTTAATGTCATGCAACGGACCATTAATCTCATGGTAACCGAAAAAGTATTGTTTAATTCATCTATTTCATCTTGGACTTACTGTTATCCACTGGAAAATTAAGCACTTTTTAAACAAATAATCATGTCATACGAAATTTGACTTTATGCACAAATTCACTAGAATATCTATAAGTCAAGTCAAATAGATCTGCTTATTGAATCCATAAAATCCTCCATAATTGAGTAATTTAAACAAAGAAGCTACTGTACTTCTCCACGACTGAAAACCCATATTGCAGGGAAAGAGGCAGTACTCCAACAGCACTGCAAACTGCAAAAAAAGATTTAGAGACCAATTAGGCATCATTTTGTAGCAGCCTTTTCCCAAAAAACCAAAGATACTTACCACTATAGCGACCTCCCACCCAGTCCCAGAATGCAAAAGCATTATTTGGATCAATGCCAAACTTCTCCACAAGCTGCATTAAAATAGGAGATGATTATTAAGTTGATGAATTTAAGAGGTGGTACACCGATTAGGTAAGAGAAAATACAATTTATTTAATCTACTGCATCTTTTTTTTTTTTACTCCAAAAACTTTGGGAAGTAATAACCAGTCATATAATCAAAACTTTGATCTAACATCTAAAATTAACATCTAAAATCAATTGTATAACATTAATAAGTATGAAAATGAAAATGATGTCATAATGTGTACAGTAAACTAATAATGCAAATAGAGAAAGAGAGACCTAAATTTGTTGGGGGGGGGGGGGGGGGGGGGAAAAAAAAGAAAGCCTATTAAATTGCCCCATAATCTTCTTATTTCGGCAAAACAACTCACCTAAAAATAATTATTAAAAGATTTTATTCTATGATGAAAAATTATTTGAGAATAAGGCCGAAGCCAAAGAAAATAAAAGAATAATTCAAGTTTTCACACTCTTCCGTAGCTTCTAAATTGACATCTGAATAGATCCACCGGCAGAACAACTAAACCTAATCTCAAACCCTCATCAGCGATTCAATAGTGCCTATCAATCTCTAACCGTTACTTGCACAAACTCTGGTTCATCTCACGGCAGTTAAAGTTTGTGATTACTCATTTGATGAAACAGCAATTCAATTAGTCAAGCTGGTTCCGACATAAACTCCACCCTCATCATTCACCACTTACCCCTACTCTGCACCTCGACAATACCTTCTTCCAGAATATATTTGAAAATATTTTGTAACTTCATGACATTACAATTGATTATGGAGATAAACATTTGTAAAAGCTAGCAGCATATGAACAAGTCAGTTTTCACATGATACTCGCAAATGGACATTTCCACAGTTGAATCCTCAAGGGAACCAACTTTCCACTATATTCAGACCGCAGTTGAGTTTCTCTTTGAGTTGCCAAAATTTTTATTTATCCAAGTTAGCTTGAGTTTTTAAACTACGATATTAATAACTAGCCAAGGTCAAAGAAATTAAGCATTCCTGAACACTTAGAGAACAGTAAAATCATTCAGAAAGCAATTTGAATTTATTATTAACAAACTCATATACAGGAGACTTTAAAAGTTAGATTAACACAAGAAATTATGTAAACAATGAAAAGGAAGCAGCAAAGAGAAAATAAAAGATAGTAACCGCACCGTGAGATTAGTACTGACAGCAACCATATGCTTTGCTACTGCTTGAGGCCTAGAATTGTGTCAAGAGTGAGATGTATAGATGAATAGATAAACAATTGTAGATAGTATCAGAAAGGATCAGATTTTTTTTTTATTTTTTTTTTTGGAAGGATGCCAAATTTGAAACCATCCTAGCAAGTGACAAATAGTTATATCAAGTCATATAACAAAGGAACACTTACGAGTAAGCAGTAAGTACATTATTTCCATTAATCACGAACATGTATCCATACATTCTAAAAGACGGCCCATAATCATCTCGTGTCTCCCTACCCACCTCATTGGAAAAGTTTCGTATATGTTCCAAATGTTCAGATATATAGATCTTATGCATAGAAAAAATGTTGGGGAGAACGAAAAGTATGAAAGTCTCGCTAATGTAGTCTACTATCTTAAAAATAATCAAGCTCAAAACTCGTCGACAGAGTAGTCTCGTGTGTTAGGTGCAAGATAGCACGGGAAAGGAAATGGTAAACATGAAATGACATGACATAAAAACATCAAAAGGACATCAAGT